TAAGCTCTAGCTGTGGAATGTTCTGCTTATCTTCCTTTACTATATTCAGTCCATTAGGGCACTGCAGAATAAATAGCCTAAAACCATTATAATTATTATTTTTGTTGTATAATTTCATATATAATAAGTTATTACCTAACTATGCACATTTACAATTATGCCAAGTAAATAAGGTCTCCAGTAACCAACATTCCTATCTTCATAACACATGATTATGCTTATGTCTCTATGGCTTGCCTTCACAAATCAATGGGGAATGATTCGAATCCCTAAGCCCCTGAGTAAATTTATATTCCTATCAGTAACAGTAGGAACTCAAAGTCTTCATCCCTGTAGATAAGAATATTCTTTTTCAATCCCCCTCCCTTTCAATAAATATATATATATATATAAGATTTACTTCAAGTAAAAAATTTTAAAAAATGAATGGATCAAGCTTTTTCATGACAAAAATTCCTTTGCCACAAAACCAAAGAAAAGTTCATGGATGATCAACAATGTAAAACCAGTTAAGACCACACATATGACCCTGATAGTTGACCATGTTTGTGTGCATGTTTAATTCTTTAATTCTATTCATCCCTGAATGGAATTTCTGTTAATTATGTTCTGCTCATGCTCCATATTGCTCTGGTCCTCACTGAGTATATACATGTACATTGTAGCTGGAGATGAAGCTGCAGAACTGTAGCTCTCTTGGTAAAAATCTAACAGGTCTGTCCAAATTTTCAAATTTTCACTCCCAGTGAGCTACATTTCTGGAGTTAGGGATGTTGGGGCCACCATTTTAACTGCATTTTAATTGACTTTATTTATCTTTGTCCAGTGAGATCTATAAGCCCCGTTTTGTAATTATCAAAATTATCATTATGAGCCAGATAAAAAAGGAATGAATTTAATGTATGCCAAGTGCATGTAAATTTCTTGTTAAATACAAGCAAAATCATTAAGCATAATTACCTAGAGTTTTATACAATGCATACGAACATGTAAAAATAATTTAGCAACCCCCCCCCCCCCTCCCCCATTATCATCAATACTTCATTTTACTTCTTTTCTTTTAAATTTATGGTAATTCAAATGTCATCTGGACAGGTCATGTTTTTATTTTCACTCTGATTAGAGAGAATCTATACATCAGTTACAAATGTATCTTCTTGAATTTCACACATTTTCACCCATCTTGTTCCATTTATTGATCTTAATTTATTGTGCGTCTTCATTTGAAACTGTATCCCACAGTAATCTGTGAGTTCAATATGATGTGTTTGAACTACCTACTTGGTACAATAACCATAACGTACCAGGTGTTGTAGAGAACAGTACAGCACAACAAAATTTGTCCTGTGGATCAATAAAGCATTGAATGCATGTGCATGTCTGTGAATAACATTTTCATACAATGTTAGGTTAGGGGAAAAAAAACAGTCTTCTAAAAAACAAACTATAAAGTTACTTTATCATGTGTTTATCAAAAATGCATGCATACTTAAAAAAAATATTTTCAAGTTTAATACACATCAGTAAATATATTGTCATTTCATTCTGACCATGCAGATATTGTATCTGATATCCAATGAAAAGCCCCCATTTCTTCGATGTAATGGCACTCAGCAATTTGCATTTAAAAAAAAAAAATCTTTTTATTCTATTGATTTCAAGTAATCCTTGTCACCAGCAGCAAAGAATCATTAAAATTTGATCAAGTTTAGGTGCTGCATCAATATTGTAATCTATTTCACAACTAGCAACCTGAATGGAAGCCATTAAATTCATGTATACCCATCCAATCAATAAAAAAAAATAATATAGATTTTCCTCATATTCTTTTTCAAGAGAAAAAAAACTATTCAGAAATTGTATCAATAATTGCTATTGGTTTAAAATACCTAGAAACTCGATTTCACTACAATCCAGGGCATCCATAAAGACTGCGTAAAATTCAGCAGACTTAATATATTCCTTTTCTCTTAGGGGAAAAAACACACTAGTTTGCATTATTTTGAAATTCTTATGTTTGCACCAATTTTCCCCAAATCTAGCTTGACAGCTTTTACAACATTGCATCACTTTTAACTGATTAAAAATTAGAGTATGAAGCACCATAATGTTATAATCTAAAAATCGAAATAAATTTCAAAGAATTATAAAATAAAAGAGAAATATATTTTGGGGAAATATGTTGGTAATTACCGTATTGTAATCAGAAGCAGATGACTCAGCATCACTCATCTTGGTTACAGAATTCTACGTCTGCTAATCCCAGGCAAAAGTGTTGATGAAAAATTTACTTCCCACCTGCTCCTTGATTTTCAGGTGTAAATAAGGTTTATTAATCAATTTTCTATGAAAAAAATTAGAATGTATCCCCTTGTTCCTCTCACATTTGTTGATTAACTGATAAATACAAAACACATCTTCACAACTTAATTAATCCACTATTGCATGGTACATCATCCAAGCATTCAAACTAGTTCTCTCTTATCTCACAGGTATGCCAAGCTTCCAGCAGTTTTTTCCCATATATTTATAAATTCAGATATACATCTTTTTCAGAAACATTTAAGATAATTCACAAAAACTCTGAAATATTCCAATACTCTAATGTTTTTCCCCCTTCCTCTATGGAGAGAATTGATACCTATAGTTTGGCTGTCCAGAGCCACAGGATACAGGAGCTGTAGATTACGTCTCAATCACGCATGGGGGAATTTAAACAGCAGCTACTTAGCCAGCCAAACAATATAGTAAACATTGGATAGACATCGCATCCAGTACTGTAACGCCAGTCATGTCAGCTCAGCCCCGTAATTAGTCACAATAAACAAAAACACATGTCCAAAAATACCCCTCAGTAGATATAGTGCCAATACTAACAATTAAATACACTCTCTGTTACCCCCGGCTACACACCTATTCCATACTGCATCAATACAGCATCAATAATAATCATTTGTGTATAAGTAATTTTAAGTGCAATATCAGACTTGGTTAACCATAGAATTAAGTAGACATTTTCACTTAAAACATTGCTCTCTGCATACTTCAATAGATACATGTACTTTAATGATGACGTACTAAATATTCTTTACATTTGCTGATTTTTCTCTGAAATTTCAGTAGCTAGCAAACTTAACCAATCAGTTTATTGACGAATTTAAAGGAAAGAGTATTGAATATTTCCTATTGATTTAGCTAGTGCGGGTATAACAGCAATTAAATACAGCACAAGCGTTCTATCAATTTTGATGTTCATGAGCTTGGAAAGTGAGAAAATTAGATTAACAAAATGATAGATAAACATTAACTTATACGCACACAAACACACATCTGGTTCAATATTTAGTGCAAAGTCTGTATAAGAAAAGAAATCCAATGTTTAGAGAAATATGAAGTTTGATATTTGAATTAAAGCAGAATTGTATTGGAGCAGGTCTCAATCAATATTAGTGAAATCGACTTTAAACATTTAAAAGCCCTATAGTTGCGGAAACAACACCTAGACTTTATATATTATTTTCCATAGTTATCTTTCCTTAGAGAAAGTGAATCCATTCCCATTATTATTGTTCTGGCACTTCATCAGCATTGTTACAAATTGATAATGGTCACTCTTTCCATATCACTTTTGATCCATACCTGGGTATCAATAATATAATAAGTATATTGTCTCATCCCCCTTATTTTCTGGAGATTTTTTCATCCAAGATAGGATATTGGCTTATATAATTTCTTCCTTGGTGTATATAAAAATACAAATAAAAACAGAGTCAGATATGCACCTCCTCAAATTACTTTAAAACATTAATTAAACATTTTAATTTTAACTTCCCAAATAAGTCTGTCAAATCTACTTCCAAACTACCATACCACCATAAACAACTTCTGATGTAGTGATTGATGTGAAGAGAATTTTTCCACAGCTAAAGTATTGTAAACAATAATTAAACCTTAATTTTACTTAATTAAGTAACCATTCTCCAATTCCTCCTGAATCTTCCACCTACTGTCTTGGAATGTGCCTCTTTCACCCACTGGCCATGATGAACAACTTCTGTCATATAAACAAGTGATGGGGCAGTAGGATGCTATGATTGATATCTAGTGTAAATATAGCTACATGTAACAGCAATGTAGATGATCCACTGGATAAAGCTATAGGTACACATTGTATGTATATCAGAGGTGCCTGGCATAAATTGACCTATATCAGTGTACAACTTAAATCATCAAGATGACTTAAATCATTAGTGAAAGTTGCTGGGATGGCACCATTATTAATACTGAGTATATCTAAAGTTAAATCAATTCTACAATACAGGTTAATTCAGTATAATTTACTGATGCTTAAACAGCATTAAATCCTTTTGATCTAAATATATAAGCTTTTACAGGCTAGGGATAAGACATCATGTCTGCATGGTTACTATTATTTTTTTTTGCTTGAATATATATGTTCAATGCACTAAACACTTCTGAATCATTATTATATATAGTTTTCAAAACAACTCTGTGATGCTGCATATAAATTCTAATACTAAAAAGAGAAATCGATGCTTTAAAATTCACCTGAGTCGCCTTGGTCCTGTTGTTCTTCAGATTAAGATTTCCCCTCTTCTTTATTCCCATGCCATTAAAAATTTTGTCCCCATATTGTGGTCCTAACCTTGCCCCAAGGGGTTATGGTTTAACCAAATTAACTTGAATCAACACAATGGGATGCTTCAATATTAATATGACCAAAATGGCCTTGATGTTATGTAGAAGAATTTTTTATTAATATTTGATTCTATATACAAGCATTCTTTACCCCAAGGGTTCATAATTTAAAAAAAAAAAAATATGAATCCTCACAATTTGGAAATGTTTGAACATTAATCAACATTTCATATTATAATCACTAAACCATGGCCCTGTTATTCTTCACAAGAAGATTTTCACAGATTTCCCCCTGTATATTCCCACGTAAAACTCTGATACCCTATTGTTGCCCATGCCACAATTTGAATTTAAAACTTGAATCTGTACTACCTCACGGAGGAGAGTTGCATATTAACATCACTTATAATGGTTCTGCTGTTCTTGAGAAGATTAAAAGAAAAAAAAGCTATACACTACCATGTAGAACTTTGGCCCCTTATTGTGATCCCTCCCTACCCCTGGGCACCACAGTTTGAACAAATTTGATTCATACTTATTGAAATTATAAATTAATATCACTAATCATGGCCAACTTGTTTTTGAGAAGAAGATATTTAAAGATTTTCCCCTATATAATTCAATATAAATTTTGGTCCTTTATTGTGGCCATGATTTAAACAAATTTGTTTAATTGATATCAATGATCATGACCCTGCTGTTCTTGAGAAGAGGAGTTTTAAAGATATTTTCCCCTTACTCCCATGTAAGACTTTGAATCCCCATTGTTGCCCAGTCCTCCCCCTGAAATGCCCTGATTTAAAAAAACAAACAAAAGAACTTGAAACTAACTATTTTAGGTACTTTTCACATAAGTTCATTTTTATTTATTATTTATTTATTTATTTTTGCCTTTTCTTCATTGTCTTCTATTTTTTGAGCATGTAGCCAGCAAGTTTGGTTAAATTTGGTCCTGTGGTTCTGGAGAAGTGGAAAATGTGGAAAGTTAACTGACAGACAAACACACAGTCAGTCAGACAAATAGCAGGTGATCAGAAAAGCTCCCCTGAACCTTTGATTCAGGTGCGCTAAAAAGTATAATTTTCTGGTTAAATTCCTGCTAAAAGAAAAAAATTAAATCATTATTTTTGGAGTGATACATGTAAAATATTACCCCCTCCCCCCCCCCCCCCCCCAACCCCCAAGAAAAAACAATAACATAAATACCTGCTTTTCAATTTCAGAAACAGAGAATTTCAGAAGTCCCATCCTGATCCTTGTTGTGTATAATATGTACCTTAATTGTCCTATTATGGTAATACATGTATACCAGAACTGAATAGACAATTTATTTAGAGCAAATTTATATTAATTCATGTCACACCAATTATGTCACAGTAGACTCCTGTCATAAATATTTGACAGCTACATAGAGCAACAAGGAAAAGAAGTAATTTAGCCTGAAAACTTGCAATGTCAAATTTTCTGTTTGATAGCTACAAAAATTTGCTTAAACTTCCTGGAAGCGGTAATGTTTTATGTGTATCGGACATTGTCAGCACTTAAAAGTTGAAAGCAAATGGTATCTGTAAAAAAAATTGCATCAAAAAAAAAAAACAAAAAAAAAAACACATTACTGCAAATGCTTTAAGCTACGGAATTTATGATAGCTTATTCAAAACCATTGTTTAACAACATATGAGCAATATTTGGGGTGCAAATGATGGTAATTTCACAAACAGGATGATGACCTTTACTGTACAAAACACAAAAAAATTATACATAAAATAAAATGGGACAAACCTGAAACGATGCCTATTAATTGTGGTGTAATATATCAGTTGTTAATTAGTTGTCAGGTGTACAGAGTAAAGGTAATATCATATATGCAAAAGAATACTTTACACACAATTGTAATTTTATCATCTGCTGAAAATAAATCTAGTTTGTCAGGTTGAAAAACCTACCAGCTTGGATTTCTGCTGCAGAGAGAGAGAGTTAGACAGAGAGGGAGAGAGAGAGAGAGAGAGAAGGTTTCAATAGTATTTATCTAAAGTGTACTTCATGGTACATCTTATTTTCATCAATTTTGAAAATTTTTCACCACTCAATGATAGAAAATATTTGGCTGCTGTTTGAAGGGAGGTAACTCTTACTGAATTGCCAGTAAAATGATTACTAATCTGAGAGTAAAAAGAGATACTGTACACCATATCTTTCCTTTTCAGACTCTCTATTTCATGACCTTTTTTTTTCTTTTCAAAAAAGTTTTTTTTTTCTCTGTCATGAGCATTTTTCACAGAGTTAAGTCTACTTAATTTCCTAGTCTGAGAGAAACTGGCAAAGAAAATCTATTTTAGCACATGCAGTTTACAATTTCTTGTAGGCAAGAAAACCTTTTGATGTCTGTCATTAAATATTTCATGATTCTATTATCAAAAAGCAATGTTAAAAGATGAAAGCACTTAGAGGAAGCATCAAGAGTACCCTGAAAGATGTAACAACCACAACACCCCAATGCATTAAGTATTCATGGCCTAGCTACTCCTACATAAAGTTCAATCTCAGTATTGGGTAAAATGATGAAAAGATATCAAAGATATTATGAAGTGAAATGACACAACCACCACCTCTATGCACACATTAATACCCACACAGTGGTGACCCTTAGTCAAGTAACATCTACATAAGGGTGACCCTTAGTCAAGTAATATCATCACAGTGGTGACCCTTAGTCAAGTTAATATCTACACAGTGGTGACCCTTAGTCAAGTTAATATCTACACAGTGGTGACCCTTAGTCAAGTAATATCTACACAGTGGTGACCCTTAGTCAAGTAATATCATCACAGTGGTGACCCTTAGTCAAGTAATATCTACACAGTGGTGACCCTTAGTCAAGTAATACCTACACAGTGGTGACCCTTTGTCAAGTACATGTAATATCTACACAGTGGTGACCCTTAGTCAAGTAATATCTACACAGTGGTGACCCTTAGTCAAGTAATATCATCACAGTGGTGACCCTTAGTCAAGTAATATCTACACAGTGGTGACCCTTAGTAACTTGATATCTACACAGTGGTGACCCTTTGTCAAGTACATGTAATATCTACACA